TATTTTATTTATTTATTGTTGTGTTTTGTTTGTTTTCTTTTCTTTTTTATAAAGTTTGTATCGACTGGTCAATATTTAAAGCAGAGCGAGAGAAGTGTTTTCAATCAAATCTAGTCACTCTGCCATGTCCAAGGGAGGAGATTGACAGCTAGATGACTTCAATTAAATGATTGATAAGGCGGTACGCAAAAGCAAAACGTATGAAACTGACATTCAAGATCCAAGAGTAAAGAGATGAAAAGTTTACAATTTGCCATGATTCCTTTCAATTCAAATTTTACTTCGCATGAATGATATATAACTCACATGACATAAGGTCATTTCTGTTAATATTCATCAGCATTGAACTGTAACGTTCAATGTATAAAAAAGTGGGCAGTATTTTTTATATTTTAGGCAGATTTTTATATATCCCAATATTTTTTCAATATCAACTGTTGGTTGATCAACATTGCAAAGGTGAATCTTTTAAAATATTTAATAATTTCAGCTCAACTTGACAATGAAAAAATGGGAATTATGTCACATTAAAAAATTACAGTACAGCTTAAAAATATAATGTTCAGACCTGAACTCGGGACTGCAGCAGAAAAGACCGAACCTGAATCCGCTACTTCACCTTCTTATTGGAGATGTATTATTCATATGCTGAAATTAGCATTTGAAATAAACGGTTTACTATCTTCATGCTTACGCATTTTAAGTCACGTGAAGCAAGGAATATAAAGAAATAACTTTGTAAATTAACGGGAACAGACATCTGCTTGCGTCCTTGGACAATACATATTGAGACATTGGAATTTAAATGTTTACATAATTTTGCAATTGGAAGGATGATCCGAAGTCTTATTTAAATTGCTAACTGATCAAAAGAAATTGAAATTAAAAATAAAACTGGAATGCAAAAACTTGAAGAAGAAACATTTTGTCGTTGGATATTAATTGTGAATTATTGCCAGTTAGGTATGGAATAAATAGTATCTAGTTACATTTGAATAATCGAAATTGTATGATGTAATTCATTTTGCTCCAAATATCACTAACATATGGAACTTTTGAGCTGAAATTAGAAATCCGTTCTTTTTGGGAAATTTCGTTACACGTACGTGATTTTAAATAAAGTACTTGAAAGAAAAAATTATTGCAGTTTAAAGGAGGATTGCGATGCAAAAGTATTACTTAAAAAGTAAAGGACATTGAATTTTAAAACGATACAATGCAGTGTTTTATTGAGAAGAGGTGGATTTGGATCCTTGAATTCGTAACATTTTTTGTATTCAAAACAGTCCTTACCCACAATTTCACTCAGTTTACTCTCTCGTCCAGTAATGCAAGGTATTCTGATAAATTAGTGCAACATTTTAACACAAGCATAATACAATGTGCGAGATTATGCAAAAGTGCGGATGAATGTACGTCTGTTAACCACAATGCGGCCATGGGCGTTTGCGAACTAACAACATACGTTCCTGGGGTGGTGACACCTTCAACAGCAGCCGAATCCAATTGGAACGTTTATTATGATGGTACGTATCCTTTGAATTATTATATACAGTCGACTCTCGTTATCTCGACATCATCGGGACCGTCAAAAATATCGAAATAAACGTGTAGATAATGACTGGAATAATGATGTTTTTACTTTGCTTGGTGTAAATTTTCTACGGATTTAAAGAAAAAAGTTGAACTAACCTATGACTTAAAATTAGAAGAAATAAAGAAAGTATTTGCAAACTGGTCAAAAAGAATACCTTCTCCAATTGGCAAACTAGTCATTATAAATCACTTGCCCTAGCAAAATTGAACCATCTTATTTTAAGTATACCAAATCCACCTTTGATAAAAAATAAATGAAATACAAAACCTATTCTTTAAGTTTCCTTGGAATAATGGTACAGTTAAAGTCAAAAGAAATATTATAACTCAAGAATATAAATTTGGAGGATTAAAAATGATAGACCTTAAATGTTTTATGTGCAGTTTAAAAGCTACATGGCTCAGAAAACTTCTGAACTCAAATAACATATACTGTCAATTGGTTGAAACAAATGTATAAATTTGGAACAGATTATATTAAGACAGAATTACATTCAGACATTAATCCGTTTTGGAGAGATGTAATTTATAGTTATTATACACTCTCAATGAATTTTAAACTATGTTATACTAAGCAGTACTATTTTGTGAACTTATGGTATAATCCAAGCATAAAATAGGAAATTCTAGTATTTGTTTAAATAGATGGATAATAGGAGGTATTCTTTTTATAGGAGATCTTATCAAAAAACATTTAATATTAGAACTATTTTTTTAGAATATAGAGGTATAGTAGCTGCTGTTTAAGAATTTATAAAAAAAGAAAATGTTCAAGATTTACCAAAATAATATAAATATAACACACCTATTCCAAATCCTATATGTATAATTAATAGAGATAAAAAGGATGCCGTTCTATATATAGAGCAATGCAAGCTGAAAAACAGTATCCAAAATCATTACATAAGTGGAAAAATGATTTAAGGAATATAAATAACAGTGAATTTTTTGAAAAAAATTCTTTGTATAATTTGGTTTACATATATACAGAGGACCCAAAGTTAATATGGTTTCAGTATAGAATAAACCATAGAATTCTTGCAACAAACTATTTGCTTAAGAAAATAAATATAATTAATGATGATAATTGTTCATTTTGTCATAATGAAAAAGAAACATTAATTCATCTTTTTTATGATTGTGATGTAACATTACATTTTTGGGAACAACTACAAGTTTATATTAATGATAGATGCAACCTTAACATTCAAACATGGAGTCAGTTAGATATATTGTTTGGCAGTGCACATCTTGATGAAGTTATATAAATAAAATAATATTACATGCCAAATATTACATATATTACTGTAGATTAAAACAATTAAGGCCTGATATAGGAACCTTTAAACAACACTGTGTGCCAGTTATAAAATTGATAAATATATGTCCAAACAACCATTCAAGCATAATGAATTTGAAAAAGCATGGGAAAAATTCAATAATTTAGTGAGCCCCTTATGATTGTGATGTCTTTAAGAAATTCATTCTTTTTTTAGAACTAAATTAAATTGATAATAGGTTTGTAGGGGTGTTACTACATGTTTATAATTCATTCATAATTATTTTTAAACTCTTCCCTCACCAAAATCTGAATGTTTATAATTTAATCATAATTATTTTTAAACTCTTCCTCCACCAAAGCCCGAAAAGAATTGCTTGCCAGTTCATTTATATATAAGGTTATCGCTTAAGGAAACTCTAGTAGTTGGCACCAAAAACCTTTTATATAGGTTTTTTTCTATCCTTTTTTTATAACAACTTTTTTCTTCTCTCTTCTTTTTACTTTTTATAGCTCATTGTTTCAAACAAGCTGTCTAAAACATTTAAAAAAAAAACATCAAAATGAATAAAGTGTTTCTGTTAGCACTATTAATTTTTCAATCCCTTTTCTAGTGTGTGTAGATACCTTAAACTTGTTTTACCAGTAAATGTGTATGTATGATATATTTTTTCTCTTTCCTGGTAAAGGTATATGTTGGTTATGTATTTACAAGTGAACTGTTTTGTTGTTATTTCTTTAGTTGGAAAATTGACTGGTGAGATAATACCTGTATCATCTTATATTTACTGTTTTTGTTGTTGTTGCTGTAAAGACATAAGTGGGTTATGTATATAAAGGAACTATCGGTTTTTATTGTTTCTTTAAGGAGTTTTGAAAATTTAATTGTTTATCAATAAGAACAATATGAAAAACAGAAGTGTTTTTGGAACACATAAATTAAGAATTGAAATAGCATGCTATAATTATGAGTTTATTTCTTCTGTAAAAATTTATTATGTTACAGTCAATCAAATAGTATAATCATCCAAAATAGAAATATACTTTCTTCTCACAGTATATAAAAATAATATTATTATAACATTTCTAGTTACATGTTGGACATCAAGTGTTTAATTATGGACAGCTTAGATTGTAATTTAAAAATATATTACTTAAAAAAAAATTCCCATAGAATTGTTAAAATTAAAATCTTTAGTCGAATTAGTACTTGTAACATGTATTATATATAATTATTCTCTTTTTTAAAATAAAAAGACAATTTAAGTTTGGATGTATTGATCGTTTTTTGTATGTGAGTAAAAATATGCTTATTAATTGGAAAAATAAATGGGTAATCTATGGCTACTGAAATTAAAAAAAAACGTGTAGATAAAATAATAACAGTGTGAAAATAACTTTTGGGCTGACATTTTACTTCGAGGTACTGAAAATATCGAGATAAATAATATATCAAATATAAATAAAGAAGGAAAAATTCGTAACTTTCAAAATTTCATCGAGATAACAAAATATTGAGGAAACGCGATGTCGAGAAAACGATAGTGACTGCATTATAGTGTACTGATAATTATTTGTAGAGAGACATAGATTTTTTTATTTCACTATGTTGCAGCTGTGAGCATTTTAAAGTTTTATGGTATGAGTATTAGTGTCTACTTTTTGTTTACCGACCTTGTTTTAGTGAATCGACTTTCACGTTATCTATTGGCATCTTTGTGATATACAGAATTTTATTGATTCATGTAAATTTTATGTTATACTAGGTACTTATGTTACCGGTTTCAAATCACTTTCCTATCAATGATGTGGGTTCAAATACCAAATTACCGAGAGAATTCCACAAAAGAAATGTGACTCATCATCGTGTCTGAAAATAACTAAAATACTAAAGCTGATCTTGAATATGGATTTCACCCTTGGTCAGAATTTTGTGATCCTCTCTTGAAAATATCCTACAATCAAGGGTAGACTTCCATTATTTTGATAAGTTTATGGAAATGTTTTAGTTTCCAAAAACGCTGTATATTTTAAATCTAACATTGTTGTCATTGAAAACTGTTTTTTCTTACCGAATTAAAAAAGTGTGTTTATGTTTTTGTACCAGATCGGTTTGTTCCTGCTGTTGATGCGTGGCAGCAATCTACATACATGCTCATTGATAGACCACTTGCAGCAAGCTATGCTATAGATGGCAATCGCGACGAAAACAATCAATTGACGACTGAATTATACTGTGCTCATACTGCAAGTGGCTATTCTTATTGGGGAATGGAATTCGAGCGTTTAGCAGAAGTGTCCCATGTTATCATCTCTTTTAGATATGCCTCAAATACTAGTAAGAAGTTTTATGATTACGATCTTTCATAAAAAAATTGCTAATTTTGATCTGCCCAATTAAGTTTTCATTACAAAATATTTGTAAGATATTTGTGTTTTACTTTTTATTTTGTAGACATCAGGAATTCAAATTTGACAGTTAAAGGGTACGAACATTACAGTGAATGAAAACTTAACGTACAGACGTGGATCTACAAGCTTAATTTCTTTATCATATGTCTATACCATTCTAAAAACAATAACACAATATATGCGTTTATATTTCAAAGGTTAAATTATCTTTATAAGTAAGACCAAGAAAAAATAAAACAAAAAAACAAAAGGCCCAAAAATGATGATCACCTGTCAATCAGAAATGTAACAACTTCACGGTCGTTTTTGGCGTTAATTTCCCTTTTCAGAACTTTACACCAGCTTAATTCGCTATCGATGTATATCCTTGATTGAAAGAAATCACGGTTTCTATCCACTTTTATCCTTTTCGTTCTCTTTTCCGTACGTTTCACACCTTCCGTATTGTCCGCCATTATTTTGATTTGATATTTATTCATATATCAATAACGTGACTCCGATCCGCACATTTGCAGGAAAAATCGAATAGCTTCCAGCCAAATTATGAATCATATTTGACTAAATGTCAAATAAGAATTTTTTTCGAATGGTCAGAACTGTTTCGGAGAGAGTTTCTAAGTGAGAAAACTTCGTCCATACTAGTTTTATAATGCATTAGATAATAATAAGATGTTAACTTGACAATCTATGTGGATGAACTTGGCCATAAATATAACTTTAATGAACCTTAAAGTGCTAACAGAAGCTTGGAATTGTTTTAACAGTTACATACTGGTTAGTACTTTTAACGTCGAGCAGTTATATAATCAAAAACAATGTATACTCAAGTTTTTTTTATTGTTTAACGTTGTTTTGTTTTGCACCATTCAAATTTTGGTCAGAAGTATTAAAATTTCCTGATGTTGACCTCTGCTTCTTCCCGTGCAGATTAGTCATTCTATAAATACATTTAAGTTGCTTGTTTTATCGGTTTTGATTTTAACTTTTTGTTTATATTTTGTAGATAACAGAAACTCGAATTTGCAGTTACTGATTTCTTCTACCCGACAAGATTCAGACAACAATATCGGAACTGACTGCGCATACTACGTCGGACCCCCAGCATCGCCGTCTTTACCTGTGAAGATTCCATGTGCTCAGCATGTGATAGGAAAGTTTCTGAAGATCATCCACGATCAGGATGACTTCCTTACCCTTTGTGAAGTAGAGGTTTACTCGGTTTAGAGAAACACTTCTGGCTATCCACTATAAATTTTAAAAAAGTTATAAAAATTATAAACGTTTCTATTACATCTGTAAAACTGTTGAATTTCTTCTAACAGTTTTTATTTTACGTTTGAAAATATGAAAAATATGAAATCCAATATCATTTACAGCACTAAAATGGAAATGACTATATCAGACTTTTCCGTCAGCAGATATTGGAAGAAAAAAATGGGGAAAATATCCTACATTTCATATAAGTAAGACAAATATTTCATCAATTTGCTGTATAATAAAATTTTGAAATAAACTTCTGCAGTGATAATATCCCTTTAATTTTTCTTTCGTTTTTATTTTTCGAATTCATTATGAATGACATTGGCCCCTAATTTCAATCTCAAAACTGACGAGTAGACCACAATTTTATGAACCGAGCTGTACTTCACACCGTTAATCGTTTTTTTTTTTCATTTTGCTCTCGAGTGATATTTTCTTTTGCCAAATTCAGGAATTGATGTTGCACGTATTCATTATCCCTCATGTACATACTCAATCAAACCGAGTCTGCAATTTTCTTGTTATTTTGTTGTGATTAATGCTTTCGAGGGATCACTTTGTTTCGGATTTTTTTTCAGCTACGTTTTGACAAATCACACGTTATCATTTAAACATAGTCTTGTATTGAACGTGATTTGAACTTCTTATTATGTTTTTATACAAAGAACAAATAAGAATTCTATTTCTTCTAGTCACCTTTAAAAACTTCTGATTAAGACATGCAAATTCCTAATTACTTTTGGACATTAAAACGTCACACCAGCACAGTAAGGTCAAATAGCGACTTTGAAGCTTTACGGTGGAAGGAGACATATATCGTATGTGGATATTGATAATAAGATATTTTAAAATTAAACATTAGTTATTTATCATATAAATATCATATTAAATCATGTAGAACTAAATTAACATTTATTGTTCAATAAACTTTCTGTAAGAAAACGTTTCTTTTATTTAAATTTATCACCGTACCCCACCCACTTAAAATTATATTTATCCTAAAACTTATACTTTATTGATAACTTTCATTGGCATATTTTGTATGTAGAAAGTTGTTTCTTGTAAAGCAGTCATAAAAACACAAATCATTATTAAACTGCAAGAAAATGAAGAAAATGTAAAGGACACCATATATAAAAACAGCAATTTTTCGAAATATTTAATATTCATAATAATTATCTGTTTTTATCATAAAAGATCTACTAACATTATTAATAGATACTAAAACTACATTTAAGGAATAAATTTGATATCAAAATGTTAAAAATCAACTATGTTTAAAAGATTAAGCTGAAAAATTTAAGGAAAAAGTAAAAAATGGTATTTTTTATTTTTGGCGTCCATCTTGGACGCAATCTTGTATTTCTTATTCCCCAAAATTGAAATCCAATGTCGTAATCTGTGGACCAAACCGAACATTTTGGTATCTGAAACCCCTTTTTTATGATCCGGGACAACTAAATCGCCTAAAAACGAGTCGTTTGATGATATGGCTGCCATTTTGGATGCAGGCTTATGAGGCATAGCAACAATCAATACGGATTGCGCGATAGGCGGAAATAATCGGAACCGTTTATTGGAGTACTACTTGACCTAATTTAAATTTAGACCCCATCCATATATATCAAGTTTTATTAGAGATTATATGTTTGCTGTAGAAAAATGAATGAAGCTAAACAAAAAGGGGCCATTGTTTCAGTGTCGGAAGGAAATATTTTTCCCCAAGTGAACACCAGATACAGTTTTTTTTTCAATGAAATTCAGTTAGAACAAAAAAAAGTTTACCAATTACAGATTTCTGGCGCATCATTTCATGAGTTCTTCATTGTAAAGTCCTCAAATAAATTTCTTTGATGACAAATAATTTCATAAAATGTGTAGATTTTGTGTTCTAAAATTGGTATGCGATTTCACTTGTTTCAGTTATATCATGTATATAAAACTGTCATCAAACACAGTGAAAATTATAATTATATTTATTCTTTAGTTTTGGTTGTCACAACAAATGATTTTGTCGGACTTTGGAGAAATGAGGACTTTATTTAGTATTTAAAATGATAATTAATATTACATTGAAACCGGGGTAATTAATTGCATGATATTCTATTAATTTTAAGGCAAAGTGTATTATTATGTAAATCAAGCTGTAGAGATAACAAATTTAATAATTCAGAATTCATCAACACAATAAAACCATTGTTCCGAATGCAGGACTTCATATTAATCGAGAAACGTAAAGAACCGACAAGAAGTGTTATATCAAAAAGATAAATCATTTATTGCATTAAATTATTTTTTTAAGTATATGTTAATACATGATTTATGCAGATGATATTCACTAGAGGTTATTCAGGTTGTTTTTTTATTATAAATAATTAATTCATTATCATCGAAAAGATAAATATTTGTTAAGTTGCGGTACCTACGCTTGAAACACGAATAAATAGAATAGAAAAACTATAGTAACTTATTACATATGAATAGTTGGAATTTTATGATTATGATTCAAGCTTATAAAAAATCAAGCTAGTCCGACACTAGGGTATTTCTATTTGAAAAACCCTGCAGATACTATTCAGACTTTGTGCTGTTTAGACTTTTACATTATCATACTTATAACTTATCAGACTTTATTTTATAAGAAGGGAGGACAACGTTATTGAAGGAGTGCCTTGTAATAAATTGTAAAATAATTGAAGAAGAAGGATTGCGTTCATTATTGCATTTAAGGAAAGGATTGTGTCATTGCATTTAAAGAACTAATTGCATTTTTACTGCATTTGAAGTAAGGATTGTGATGCAAAATAATTACATTTAATGTAAGGAACATTGAATTTAAAACTATACAATGCATTGGTTTAAGGAGATGAAGTGGATTTGGGTCACAATTTTTGTATTTAAAACAGTCCTTACCCACAGGTTCACTCAGTTTACTCTCCCGTCGAGTAATGCCCGATAAAGTGATAATTTAGTGCAACATTTAAACACAAGCATAATACAATGTGCGATAAATATTATGTAATGGTGCGGATGAATGTACGTCTGTTAACCACAATGCGGACACAGGCGTTTGCGAACTAACAACATACGTTCCTGGGGTGGTGACACCTTCAACAGTAGCCGAATCTAACTTGAACATTTATTTTGATGGTACACGTCCTTTGAATAATTATATCATGGTATACTGATTATAATTTAAAGAGAGACATAGGTTTTTATTTGTTTGGGTCGTCAGACCAAACAAATAATGGTAGCGAAATTTCAGACCCTGATGTTCTTATTTGCAAATACCGAAAGTAGTCAAAACTCCTCGAGGCGGTTACTTCCTTTCATATGTACATGTACGCCGAAAAAATAAGGGGAAATCACTGCGTAAAGATTGTCATATGACAGGTGCATTAATTTTCGTAACGAAAAAATAGTTCTCGATTGCTCGAAGATTTCTAATATTGTGTTATTCTTATAGATATACATGCTTTTATTCAGCCCCATGATTATTTACTTCAGTGTAAACAACATGTTTACCGTGAACAAATTATATCGAAATTAATAAGGGTTACAAAGTCTAATTTAGAATAATATGGTATTCTTCAGTTATCTTATAACTCCCCGTGGTCGAGGGGTTTACACGTTCGCTTTCAAAGCGAGAGGTCTGGAGTTGAAATCCCAGTTTAAGCAACTCATGTTTTTTTTTATTTGTTTAAGCCACATAAACATTGAATTGAATATCAGTGTTGCAGTTAGTCTTATAGCCAATTTACTTTAGTTATAAAACAACATTGGTGACACTATATAACGAAATTGGTTTATAATCTCACAACCTTCACCTTTCTGACATTCTGAGACACAAAAAAATTCAGCGCCTTCTGTGCTTTGATTATATTTGTCAATATACTTGTAACATCCGATACAATCTTTCTGATTCGTGTAAATGATATTTCAACACGGGGGACCCGTGACCGAGTGACAAATGTTGTCAACTTCGAATCACTCTTCTATCAATGATGTTGGTTCAAACCCGTCAAAGACTTTGGATTCTTTCATATTGAAGAAATGGACGTTCGGTGATTCAATTCGGGTGTCAGCTTGTAAAAATGCATTGAAGGGACGAAGACTTTTTCATTCAGTAAAGCTGAAAACTCGCCATATGAACTCTTTGTCGGTATAAATTTAAATCCACTAATTTAAACAAACAAACAAACAAATAAAATTCTTTAGCGAAGCAATAACTGTGGAGGGAGGTAAAGTAGGATCATGAAATTTGGCTTATATGACGAACAAGTCTGAAACTTTGATATCTACTAACGTAAATTTTATTTAGCGAAAATCACCTAAACAGCTCGACGAAAAAATCATATGACTCAACACCCTGTCTGAAAAAAAAACAACTTGAATGCTTAATTCCTCTTGAATAAAGATTACTCCAAGTCTTGTGGTCCTCTTTGTAAAATATCCTAGAACGAAGGGTGGTATTCATGTTTGTTAAGTTTATGTAACATTTCTTGCCACAATGTTTAAGTTTCCAACAACGTCATATATCTTAAATTTAAACATCATTGTTTTTGAAAACTGTTTATTATAACCGAATTTAAAAAGTCTATTAAGTTGTTACTTTTCTTTTTAACCAGATCGTTTTGTCCTGCTGTTGACGCGTGGTAGCAATCTACATACGTACACGAGAATGGACCACTTGTAGCAAGCATTGCAATAGATGGCAAACGCGACAACATCATTAACGGGGCGGATGAAAAATACTGTGCTAGAACTGCAAGTGGCTATTCTTATTGGGGAATGGAATTTGAGCGTTTTGCAGAAGTGTCCCATGTTATCATCTTTTTTAGGAATGCATCGCATATCAGTAAGAAGATTTATACCATTCAGTTGAAGATGACATGTGTCATGGTTGTAATTATGAACATGTGATTTTGTAAACTTATTAGGGGATTGATCTTACAAATATTGAGGTCTGACGAACACACTACACAAACGTTTTTTAAGCACAGGATCAAATCAATATCGTATAGTCTCATGCTTTATTACACATTTGTTCATTTGGTCTGCATCACAAATTCTCTTGGCAACCCAAAGAAAGACATTTTTATAATACGATTTGATTTTAGAATGCATCCGGCTGTGGTGCTTTTTCGTTTTACGCTTACTTATTCTCAAAATAAAATCAAGTATTGAAGTACATTTTAGCTTTATAAGGTACCCAGTATGCTCTATTGTTAAGTTTGTTTATATTG